GAGAGCTGGGGATGTAGCAGTCCATGTTTAATGTGAACACTCATGGCCCGGAAAATGAAAACTTTACAGGCAGCATGAGAGACATAGTGCTGCGAAATGCCCCGTCAACATCCTTTGGGTCACTGAGGGTCATACTGGCCTCATACATTGGTTGTCCTATACATGAGGTGAAGTAGAGGATAGAAGACAAGCAAAAGGGGTCCAAAAGGTGGCTAAGACCAAACCCCCAAGAAATACTCGGGATTTTATCCCAGAGGGACCAAGGAAGACTAGCCGTAAGCAGATGTGGCTTGACTTGCTTACAGCATGGTTGATAGAAAATTGACCAGCAGGCAAACGCAGTTCTGTTTGCGCCCTGAACAGCGTTTCACCAAACGTCGGGAAACAGGTAGCAAGGTATGCTCAGTGGATTGGAAGGATTTTTTAATTGCTCCTGAGGAGGCAGATGAACTGTTCCATTTTGACTAGGGAGCAGGCCAAGGTGCTCGTCTTTTGGGGGCAGGCGAGGACTGGAGGCCTTATGTTGAATTGGCAATGATGAAACAGCACTGGCTGGCAGAACTCGCATCTAAAAATAGAGCATGTTTACTCTGCTGGCAGCTGCTCAATTTTTCTTTAGACTTTGCTGGTAGCAGTTGAGTTTCTGAGTTTCTCGTTGTACTGCCTAGCTCATAGACCTGCATGTGAAGGGTTTGTGAATGGGCTCGAGGGGTCTGTGAACTCCAGATCCTAGCTCTAGCTCTACAATGATAAATATTTACCAATGACTTCATTTGAGCTTCCAAAGGCCTGTGTGATGAAATTTGAGGAAATGAAATATTGAGAAAGTCTCCAAATGACCCGAGGCTACTAGAGTGTTGGCCCAGACTTGAGAGGAATTCCATTCAGAGGAAGCAATGAGAAATTGAATGTTCTGGGGGATAGAACATGTCCCACTCCAGATGGTTTCTTTCTGCCCGGTAAAGATAATGATGGTCCCACAGCTTTGCATGTAGGATTAGGAGAGAGAGGGATGGAAATTCTGGGTTCAGCATTGCAACAAAGTTGCTTAGTGGATCTACTGGAGTCTTTTAACCTCTATAAGCTTCATTTTCTTGAAAGGAAAAGGGAGTTGGCTTATGTGATTTTAAATCCCTTTTCATTATAAAATGCTTACCCCTATTCCAAACATACCACAACCACACATGGTATCAAGACTTTATGGAAGTAGAGGGGATGTTTTCATTACATTTATCTCTCAGATAAAAACATCGGTTGGAGACTGGTTACTTATACATGAATCCAAAAGATTCAGGCCAATTCCTTCTCAGGGCAATTCTCCATATTGAGAGACTGACAAAGCTGCTCTAGAAAATAAGAAGGGTATGAAAATGATTCTCTGTGTGCTGTCACCATTTGATGCTTGACCTAAGTGAACAATTGCGAAAAAAAAGAGATATTTCTAAAATGAGTGTATTGTTACTCACCATTTATTTCTTAGCTCCTCCGCACAGAGAGCAGCAGTAGTGTTTACTTGACACGAGGCTAAACTGGA